AGCTACTGACGCGCAGCTTGTTTGAGTGAGTTGAAGTGGTTGGAGTTTGCCAGGGAAGCCGTGTAGAGTCTGCAAGTTACTTGACACGACCTCGGCTCAAGACCGCGAGTGTGAGAAAAAGTGTCCGAGAGTTCAGTGCTTGTGCTTGCTTGGTTTGACTTGGAGCTGAAGCCTGACGTGCAGAGCGGTGTCAACACTTTTCGCTGTTGGGCCGGCAGCTCTTGAGCTGTTGGCCGGCAGCTCTTGAGCACCTCTTGTGCTGTTTGGGCCGGCAGCTCTTGTGCTGTTGAACCAGCAGCTCTTAAGTTGTTCTTGTGCTGTTGAGCAGGCAGCTCTTGGGCTGTTGAGCAGGCAGCTCTTGGGCTGTTGAGCAGGCAGCTCACAAGCAGCCGGCAAGTAGCTCATAAGCTGCTCGCGGGCTGCTGACAGGTACGCACCCCCCTAAAGCACTTCTAAATCCCGTTTTGCAAACACTTTGGAGCCCTTACGATCGTGCGAGCAGCGGGCCGTAGGCCCGTGAATCGTCAGTGCTCTAAAGTATCGAATTCTCACCCATGTCCGGAACATGGGCCTGTAGCTATCACAGAGTGGGAGCTGACAACACCCTCCCTAGAGAGAGGGCATGGATGACCACTTTGATCGCCACGCGGCCTTAGAAAAATGAGTTGCGGCCTGTCTTCTACCTGGTAGATGTTCATTTTTGGGCGTCTTACCAGCCTCATTTTCAGCAACCTTGCACGCTTACTTGCATATCCAGCTGTCTCACTCTGCCTTGAAGCTGCCAAGACATTGTCACAGTCTTGGCACCACTCTGGAAAAATTCAAAAGGTTGATAAATTGGAAGTGTCGTTCAACAAGAGGAACCGCCGTGCACTCTGGAAGAAGCCATATTGTTCGTGATCCAGAAACGCGCCTCTCTGTCATGGAAAGGCAGTTCTGATGGTCTGACGGAATGTTTCAAAAGTTTCCAGCTCCAGCATTTCGGCGCCTATGGTTGGTTTAAGCACGAAACATTTGAATCATGGTCAAGTGCGCCAACCATAGCGTCAACTAACTCATCAGGTGCACCACATTAGCCAGATTGAGAGGGCTGCTGACACGCGGTCTCACACTTTTTGCGTATTGTGACAAAGACAAACTGTTCTACCAGTTGGTGCCTGCGAGAAAGACGCGGTTTAGGGGCTTGGCAAGAAGTTTGAAACGTCATGCAGGCTATTAAAGCCATCGATGTGCAAATGCCGTGAGGGGACGCCTGCCAAAAGGTGAGCAACATAGAGTCTTTACAAGGCAAAGCCTGAAAGCTGGGAATGCCAGAAGCCCAAAGCGTTGCGCAACCTGGTTGGAACGAGGAAACTTCCAAAATTACGAAATTTAAGCCGGTAATGCTGGTTTGGTGCAACGGCAACATCTTGGATTTATTGGCTTGGAACATACAAATTTGCGAAGTTGCAAAGCCGTACAAGTTTTTGCTTCTTAAGCGTTTGCATAAAGGATAGCCCAAATAAATGTCGTAGATCAACTTGTTGGATGTTTGCGATTTGTTGACCGATTGCACACTCTTGCGCAGCACTTGCGCTGAATGCCCATTACATTCGAATGATGTTCATTGATGGCTCCCCATGCAGATTTAGTTCTCTTCCATCGGTTTCGACCAGAGAGTGACGCATCATAAGATCGACACGTGGGGTAGAATTTCTTGCTGCCAAAAAACATTGCATGTATGCAGATGGGCAGACGTTCGCACGCCATTGCATCCCAACTTTCAGCCAACAGTTCATGCGTGGAAATTTGCGAACTTACAGTCCCCCAACCATAAGTTAAATCTTGTGCATGTTCGTTGGATACGCTGTGAGTCATGGCCCCGTAGCAACATGACAGGCAGGATGCGAGGTGATAACTGAAGTATTGAGCGACAGAAGACTCTGTCATGAGTGAGTGCACGAGTGAGTTCATGATTTGAAGCGAACGTCTGTGTTTGTTGAGGGTGGAGTTGCAGGCGCAGGCAGCAGCTCGTTTGGTCGCGACTTCCTTCGGTTGTGCCACGACAACAACGGCATCGATCTTCACAAGTTGTTGGCGCCTGAAAGCATCGTTGCGACATAAGTATGTTTTTGTGGTTTTGCATACGTCGCCCTGAGGCTCCAGACAACCACCGGGAAGCAGCCTGCAGATGCTGACTTGGAGGAACGCCGCGTCCGCAAATGTGTGTAACTTCCATTTGTCCATGTGGGTTGAAAATGCACATGATAGGGCACAAGAGACGACGGCGTCGCAAAGAGCATTGGGCTTGCTTGGAGCGCCGGGGCAACAGCTGAAGGCAGCAGGAGTGAGACAAGACTTCGTGGTTGTTGTTTTCTGACGAAGGCTTAGATGCCTTCCTAGAAGCTCTGCGGCAGTGGGCCCGAAGGTGAGCCTACAGAGCAGCGCGTGTTTGAGCGTTTCTGCATGCCGATTGCACTTGCCAGGTATCTGGACAGAAACGACAAGGTTCGATGGATGCTGGCACCGATGCTACTCGGTTGTTAGTTCGACTGCTCTGTGAAGAAGTGTCAACTGGCAGGGCCATAAACGTCCGGATCGTTAGAAAGGGCTTGCAGTGTTTGCATTTCCGTAGCTCGAGGAGATGGGTTGCGAGCACCTTGAAGGCTCTTTCTAACAAGTAGTGTTAAAGGTGAAGAGCAGGGCTTGTTTTGTTTTCTTGTTCTGGTTCTTTTCTCGTTTAGGGGGGCCTTGTCGCAGTGGAGCGGTGCTGAGGCTGTGGATGGCAGCCAGGCCGAGGCATGGGTTAGTGTCCGATTCGTAAGGGACTCCTAGGCCTGAGACTTCCTTGCCGGTTCTGGGATCGGTCTCGCGCTCATAGGCTGTTGCTGGAAGTTGCGGTATGTCATGGGGCGCGAGAGCTCTGGCAGCAATGAGCTGGTCCAGGCAGATAGCTGTCGAGCTGGATGGGAAGGATTCTTCCAGGCATGCCTGGCTTTCTTCAACCTAGCTTTCCGTCCGCACCGTGGCCTGGGAGATCCGGTGCAGGTTCCGAGGGAAGGTGGTGGAGGCCAACTTGGCTTTTCTCGAAAGGCGCTAACGGCAGCAAAACAGAAGCATGCGCGCCTACACAGGAGTTGCGAATCGTCTTCACCAAGCTCCACCAAGACAGAGCCAGGAGGGAGGCAACATCTGCGAACTCGACATGGGAGGATTTTTTTAGAGGATCCCTACGCTTGATGGCTCTCGCAGCCTCGCAGGGCGCCCTTGTAATTTGCTGCGAGCTCTTACGGCTCTACCGGAGCCTCGGACAGGCGCGCGCCGCGGCAATACCTAGGACCTAAGAATTGCAACAAAGATTAGTTTTCTTCGTTTCCTTTCTCTTGCGGTGGCAGGCATCTCAATGCAGCTTCATCCTGACGACCGTTGGCCAGAGCCTAAGCACCGAGCGACCTTCAACGGTTGCTGCATGAAGCGGAGGCAACGTGTGGCGAGAAGACAAGCCGGATCCCAAGCTGGAGCAGGCGTCTTTGTGATGACTTCCTCGGGCGGCTTGCTCAGGTTTGATCCTGACAGGCTGCCAAAGTCGTTGCTTGTGACTTTGTGACCTCCAACACACTGCACACTTCCGGTTTACCTGTCGAGCATGTTCATGAAGGTTTGGGTGACACCTTCTGTCTGGAGGTACTTCCTTTGGGGAAAGCACCTAGTGCTGGAAGGCAAAATCGTCGAGGCGATTCTGCCCCGCAGAAGGAAATCGGGGAAACTGTTCGCACTGAGCCCATCTCAAGAGAGACGAAGCACTGCCAGGCAGAAGCCAAACTATCGCGCGCATTCTCACTTTGCCCTCCCAAGGCTCTCCAGCCGTGTGTTATGGTGTGTTTGTGTCGCATGTAGGCCGCTTATTCCTCCTCGGGCCTGTAGTGTCTATCCTCTGCTATTTGCTGCAGGAACTAGGTGCATGAGCTGTGAGTGGCAAGATCCGGTGCATCGTTTCGAGGCCGCTGGCAACAGACAGAGGTGGCTGCCTTGGTTGTTCGGCGATATCATGCAGTGGTCATGGAAGCGTTCGATATGAACTACAGGATTTTGACATACTTGATCCCCTGTCGACTGCGGCTTGGTCAGTATCCATCTCGAGGCCATCAGCATCCTCTAAATACATCTAAACTACAAGCTTCACTCCAAGCAGCCCCCACACGCTCTCGCTGCGCAGGTCTGCTGGAGCGGAACGGGCTCTTGAGGCAGGTAATTCCAAGACGGGGTACTGCTTTGGAAAACTGTCCGAGTTGTAGTTGGCTTCCTCTAGAGACGTATGCATGTTCAAAACACATCAGTGCACTTTGTCAACGGCGCTTTGCATGCACAGCCTGGCGGGGCTGGTGGTGGCAACAGCCGCCGGTGACGTGCGCCGCTTCAACGAGGATGCCCGGACTGGAAGATTCGCAGGTTTGCATAGGCAGCAGTGGCCTCCTTGACCAGGAGCTGGTTCGACAGGCGTGGACCCCCCTCTCATCAGCAGATCATGCAGCGTCCCAGGGTGCTTTGGCCAATATGAGGAAGCGGAGCTCATTGCACTGGGTACCTACCTGGTGACCGTCACATCCTCAAGGCGAAAGCCGCATCACTATATCCTGCCAGGTTAAACCTCAGCGTCGTGCAACACATGGATGCACCGCATGACACCACATTACGGTGCAGCGTCTAAGGAGAAGCTCAAAGTAGTCGCTTACCGGAACCTCACGAGACATGTGTGACACGCTCAGCGACCTTCGACTCAGTCAGTTCATGTGCAACTGACATGCACCTCGCGGTCAGGTTCGAGCACCAAAGTGAGAAGCTTGAGGGGATGCAGAAGTTCAAGCAGGATACAAAGCACTGTGGACTGTGTAGACTGTAGCTTTTCCGCCGCTGTGGTTGCAAGACATCTAGGTGAGAAGGCATGTTGTCAAGCCCGGGAGCAGAGTCAGGACTTCGCACCCTACGAGTGCGCCTTCCGGTGGCAGGATATCCTGTCACAGCCGGCAATCAGCACTGCACCGTCCTATGACATGTTGCCCAACTCGATACAGGACGATTGCTCTGAGGACGAGACCCTGTGCCTGTTGGCTCACTTGGTACCCCCCCCAATTGTGGCGAAGAGATCCTTGATCACCGCTCAGAGAGCACTCTCACTGTATAACCTGTGAACCTGGTGCAGATCTACATCGGGGCTGTCAAGGGCTATCTCTCGGACCAGCGCCGCAAGGTCGTCTACTCCAAGGCTGGCAGAATGTCCAGTGAACGCGCGCGAGAGATGTGCCGGTCATGGTGAGGAGACCCCTTTTCCGGCCGCAAGCACCTGGGCGAGCAAGGCATAGGGACGCCGGGACGCCTCTGCCGGCTTAACGCATTGAAAGTGCGCGTTGCAAGGGCTGCTGAGATAAGGCGGTGAAAAAGCAGGGGGCTTGCACACAGCTCAAGTATTTCGTTTTCTCGGCTGACTGCCCTCTGCGATTTTCGTGAAGCCGTGAAACCTTCAGGGTCGGCAAGAAAGCCGAAGATCATCACAGAAGGACCTGCACCATGATCACCCATCCCGCAGTAAGCGCCACATCAGCATGATGGGGAAGAGGGTTTGTAAATGTTTGTAAAACACCGCAAGCCCTGCCCTCATGGAGTCACCGGCGGATGAGGCTGAGGCGCTATTCGGGCTCATGGCAGGTTCTTCCAGTATCCAAGCAAGTCACAATGGCCCTGAGTCCCGAAGTTCAAGGCGGGAGAAGAGCTTGAACTGCACAGGAAGGAGATGGTCTCATGGCTGGGGCATTGATGGCCATCCGTACCTGGACACTTCTTCGCAGTTCCTCCACCTGAGTAAGCCGCAGCCAGTAGCTGCACGTGCCCCGGCCTGGGCGCCAAGCTACCCCTACCCACGAGCTTTGCGAGGTCCGGGGTCTGCGTTGCAGGAGCCCACGGTTGAGGGAACGAAGCGCGAGCCGGGCACCGGTAGCTTGGTGGAGGCGATGGAGACGGCTGCGGCCGCGTCATCTGCTCCGAGTGCTTTGCCCGAAGACCTGCTTCATTCGCTGGATGACTTGTCAGCAGCGCTGGGGAGCCTTGACCAGCCAGGCATGCTGCCTTCTTGTGTAGCTGTGCACTGAAGGTCGTCCCTGGTAGAACTAGGCATGTGTGCCTTTCG